CTGTTGTTATTTAGTATAACTGTTGTTATTTATTATAACTGTTGTTAGAGCAGAAACACTTTGGACTGCAGCTGCCTGGAGTGTGCATGTTCCACTTGGAGCATCTCACTCCTCCGTGGGGGGTTCCCCTGAAAACTCCGCTCTGAGCCCTGGACTCAGAAACCTTCCGTCTCAGAGAGGATGAGGATGTTGTCTGCGAATGAACGTTTCCAGTCGTGTAAACGGGGCCTCAGACTGGCTGCCCTGGCTGTCAATCAAGAGACAAATTTCATAGATGATGATCGTCTGACGTCTGGTTTTAATGCATCTACCCAGAAGACCTTGGAGATCCAGCAGGAGGTCGCCATCGATGTATCGGCCACCCGTTCGAAAACCACTACGAGACGATCATTGTGCAGCTCAGGAGATTCACGTGTCACTTTTTGCAATAAATCTTCCATATTGTGCCTTTTTAAACATTCATGTATCAAAACGTTCAGTTTTACTGAACGTTGTATTTAATTGTTGTATGTTGACTTTTAATTTTCTACCAGTTATACCAATGAAAAATATTTAACTTTCTTTAAAGAAACATTTAAGATACATAAAAATATACTGTACATATTTTTCAAATGTGCTTTAGCATACTTGCACAATTTTTGAAATCCTATACTACACCTGTTGAAGCTCCCATTTTCTACTTTTAGCTTTGGCTAGCAATTTATTCTTTTAACGTTTCTACACGTAAAAAATCATTATCCTCTTCTTATTTTAGCTACTATTTTTCTGCTTTTAGCAACTGATAAAGTTTACATAGATCTGCCATATGTGACTTAATTTTTAGCTAGTGTTGTAATACTTTCAGATTTTAACTAATATTCTGATGAAGGGCTTCTGTTCAGTTTATTTGGATCACTATCTGGCACTCAGCATCCACACGGCATCTTCACAGAAACACGGCTTTTCTAGTTGCTCTGTGGAATCTGCAAAGCTGCTCACCTTCAACTAAACAACCACGTTCAGCACTTCCACAGTTGGAAACGTCGGTGAAGGTCAGTACCTGTCCATCGAGAGCTGAGCGACTAGCGTGACATCGGTGTTGTCCAAGCTGGGCTCGTACTCGTAGTGGAGGAAGTAAAGATGCGTTCGGTGGAGTGTGAATCTCTCTCGGCGAAACTCATAGCATGGATCATCTTCATCAAGCTCTGACAGAGTCTTCTGGAGCTGCAGACAAAGAGAACAATGAGGATGACCTGAGCTTATGTTCTTATCAATCACACTAGAACTGTCAAGAGAACTTATGTCAACTCTATACTTCCTTGGATAATGGTGAATAAGAATGTGGAATGGGTTAACTTTAATTATTAAGACTGGAAGTCAACCCAAGGGTCAGAGGTCAGAGTCAGGGGAGCACATCTTCATGCTGCACTGTCATTGCAGACAAACTGCGTCCTGGTTCAGGCAACAAATATTGTTCCATGTGACGAATTCAGTTCTATCCGAGCAGAAAGCTACACCCGGGACTAGCAAAGCATTTACAGAGTGATGGGGGCGGGGCCGTTTCCTACACATCTGTGAACTCAGTGGAATACTGTACCTGGAAATCAGTGATCACATCAAAGTGTGATGTGTGACAAGGACGCGTGCTTTAACTACATCACAACGTTACCAAGCAAGAGTGTTTCCACCTGTGCACTACTACTAACATTAACCCCGAGGACTGAACGTCCACTTTGTGTCAAGTGTGTCCCACACACTGGAGGAAACAGGAAGCAGAAATGGACCTACGTTCTCACTGTTCAGGTCGGCCTCACTCGCACAGCCAAAAAGCTCATGGCGCAGGAGGTTCCCATCGTATTCCAGAAAGGTGAGATAAAGGTTCCTGAAGAACTCCACGTGCTTGTTTTTCACCCGCAGCTTCTTTGGAGAGTTCCAGTGGATCACCTGTCCAGGAGAACCACAGAGACGATGATGCCACAAAACAAGAGCACTGGGCTGGACTCAGTCAGACATTTATTGAAAACTAAGGGCCTTGATCAGGGGCCAACAGTGGGGCAAATGAGGGTGGAGGCAGGTGTGGGTACTTCACCCACCCAAATGTAGTTATAATGGTCAGGGCTTTGAAACTGGTGGCCCCCAGTCGCAGACGAGCCTTCTCGAACCTCTGCCCCAAACAAAATGACAAATCCAACAATAAAAGCAGGTGGTCCGTGTGCAGCAGCAGGTCTCACCTTCAGGTCTGAAACGTCCCTGTAACACTTCTCAGAGCGCGTGTGGTCGGACAGCTGGACGTTCCAGAAGCAGGGCAGCTGGTGGACCAGGAACGGGTTCTGCTTGATCACAGCGTTGAAGATGTCCTGCAGACAGGAGACATGTTTAACATCCCCCAGAGGTTCACCACCCACACCCTCAAGCTCTTCTAAAGACTAACTGCTTGAGTGTCGACACAAAACGATCTCCAAATAATCTGATGAGTTTTGATGGACTCAGTTCTGTCCAACTTGGACCTTCTGGGTGATTCTCTCTGTCAGTGAGTGCACAGCTGGTTCTGATCTAAACCATCTTGAGGACTAAATGAAACATGGCAGCACAGTTGAAAACTGCTGGCAGGTTTTAGGTTCTTCTGGGTACTCGGACGTTCTCTGATCTTGGTAGCATGGACTTGAACTGATCCAACCACAGCTGAGAGATTCAGCTCTACCTTGGGATGAGCCAGCAGATTATTTCAGCACACCATGATGTCCTTCTGTATCCATCTTGAAGGTGTTCTTCCTGCTGTGATGACGAGTCACACTCAGCTACTTGACCCCAGTTTTGGATTCTGCAGCCTGAAGGTTCTGACCATTGAGAGCACCATGATGTTGCACCTGATCTACCCTCCACTGGACATGATCATCCACAAATGAATTTTAATAAAACTCAGTCCAGCCAATTCATTACTCGTCTCTCTTAATGCAGTCTTTATATTTTGTCCACGACGTTTCTGCTCCTTCATATAATGAGGTCCACCTACTTTGGATCTTGATCTGTGGTTTGGCCTTGATGCCTGTGTGCAGGGTATGTTTATTTCAGATGACTGTGCTTATTTTACTCAATCTTTTGATCTTACATTGGCTGAAAGTCATTGTGTAATCACATCTTAAATCGTTCCTCTACACCAGGGGTGTCCAGATGTTTTCATTATGGAGCTCCTTTTAAAATGACCAAGTCAAAGTGTCCGTTTACACAGAACAACCTCTGGAAACTTTAGTGTTATTTTCAATGTTTATTGGTGGTAATAAACAAAACAGGAGTGTGTTTAAAAGAAAACACTGTAGTTTCCATGTCAGCGGGTTGCCAGATAAGAAATGATGAACTATAGTACTGTGGCTTTAAAATGATAGTACTTTGACTAAACCGTCATATGTGCTGAGTAAAGATATTCTAAGATGGGGTGAGTGTTGTGTTTGTGGAACATGTGCACAGAAAAGGAGGGGGTGAATAAGACATTTAAATTTATCTGGCAAAGCTCTTCGTGCATGGAGCATCTGCATGACAGTTAGTCCAAACTGGTGAATACACAAACGTCTCTTTGGAGCCTGGAGTTTATTAGTTTTGCTCTTACAAGCTGAAGAAGGGTGAGAAGCACAAAAACACTCTGCTCTCTGACATTTATTATAACTGTTGTTATATTTATTATAACTGTTGTTATATTTAT